TATTTGGTGATAAAATCACCAACAAAAAGGAGCACAGTAATCATAATATCTTATGGAATTTTCAAATCAATTAGTTTCCCAATTGCAACCCAATTTCACGCAACTATCTTGCACTCCATAAACAAGTGGTGTAAGGATTATGTTTATGTTTGACAAGTTGGACACAAGACCGAGGCGACAACAATCCCCTTTGGCCCTAAGGGAGAACGGAATGGTAGCGGTTTTGTTGAGCGGCTTTGACCAGAAAGGAGAAGAGGGAGCACCGGGAGGAGAGCAAGAGAGAAAGGGAGGGTGTTGAGACTTGAGCGGGTTCAAGAAACCGCTGGAGGATTGAATCACAAAAGAAAAATAGGGAAGATGGGTTGGGAAGGATGCAGTTTAGGCGGGTTCGACTCCCGCCACAAAGTGTTTGGCGGGTAGCGGGAAGGAAGGCGACGATTCTGTCCTCCCTAAGTACGGTCTCAAGGGCAACCAATCCAAGAGAAGCACTACAAGAAAAAAAGTCATTAGCAACGGCAAAAGTCGTCGGTAAAAGTCTTATTTGTCGTCGGTAAAGGCAATAACGGCGACTACCCGCCCTGACGCTGTTGTTCATAATGTCGTCGGTAAAGATAACTATCGCCGCTAATACTCTTGTTGTCAGTAATACTCCATGTCGTCGGTATTTCCCTCTGTCGTCGGTAATAATATTTTATTATTATTTTTTTTTTTAAATCAACACTTTTGGGTGCAGAAAAACCGATACATAACGACATTAAATACAGAAAAAAAAATATTACATAACGATATCCGATAAGGTACCAAATAGTGTTATAATTTCATACAAAAATAAACAAAAGTGTTATAATTCCAACAAGTACCAAAGTGTCTCAACAAGTCTAACATACAAAACACAAACTAATTGTCCGGCGAACCATCACCTCTGTTTCCCTTGTTTCCTCCTTAATCTTTCCCCGATTGAAAAAACGTATAAAGTTTCTCCCTACACGTCGGGCCGTTGAGCATTGCCCGAAGATTTTCCAACAACATGATAAATAGCAACATATATAAACTTATAAGTTAAACTATCAAACATAAACAAAAACTATCAAAGTACATTGATATTTCTTGCACTTAAATACAAGAAATACCAAAAGTACATTGGTATTTCTTGCATTTGGCACAAAAACACAATTACAAACAGAATTACCAAAGCAACATTCATTTATTGATGCCAAAGTACATTGCTATTTTTAAACTAGGAACAAAAAACCAAAGTACATTGCTATTTTTGCACTTAGAACATAAACACAAATACAAACACAATTATCAAATCAACATGCATTTATTGATCATTGTATAAATATATGAGACTTTGAAATTAAGTAGTCTGCTTTTTGTACTAAAGAACCATAAGTACAAGAAATACCAAAGTACATTGCTATCTCTTGCATTTGGGACAAAAACAAAATTACAAACACAATTACCAAATCAACATGTATTTATTTATGCCAAAGTGCATTGCTAATTTTAAATTAAGGACAAAAAACCATAGTAAATTGCTATTTCTTACACTTGGAACAAAAAACCAATTACCAAAGCTTTTAGCAAATAATCACCACAAACCAAAATTACCAAATCAACATGCATTTATTGGAATTAAATAGTCTTGTTTTACTTGTGATGGTTGTGACGGTGGTGGTGGCTACGATGGTTATGCAGTTGGCGGGATAGCAGAAGGTTTTCGACCGATGCCACTAATATGGCCACGCCGTTCACCTAATACTCTTTCGAAACATGCTCTTTCTTCAGCGGGTGTTAAATCTCTTTCACCTTCTGGCCCTTGTGTTTGTTCTTAGAGCTCTTGCACTAACCGATTCTATGTTTTCCAAAAAATGATTAACAATTAAGTATAAATAAACACTTAATTGTATGATAAAATTATAATTAAATACTTATGTATGGCTGCTCCGCTACATCAATAACAAATACATTATTTTTGTCGGTATGAACCCTTGCAGAATGTTTCAACTCTCTTCAGGTTCTGTTTATAATTAAAAGTTAGATTATATTTTAAATAAATAATTACATATATATCGTATGTTACCTTTTTTATAGCAAGTACTTCTATACGAGCTCGACCCCACACGGTTCACATACGTTGAGCAGAAGGCATTCCAAAACCTTCCTAGTGATGGGCGGTTTTAAAGAGTCAGATAAGGCTTCTAGAATGTGCCTTAGAGATAATTAGGAAACCAGATAATAACCTGATTTAAGATACTATTATTTTAATCAAGAGTTATCTAGGGTTTCTTGGTCAGCTATAAATAAGGTCCCCTAACCTCTAAATTTCGGCCAACCTACAAGCTAAGAAGCCAGCCGAAATTTTATCTCTTCCCTCTCCTCTTTTCAAGTTTCCTAGTTGCTAGGGTTTGAGTGTGAACCATCAGAGGCACAAGATTTCTGGTGCTAGCTTCCAAGAGTTTTCTAGAAGGATTGTTTGATTATTTACTACAACAATCAAAAGGTATGTAATCTTCTATGATATTCAAAATTACTTAGGGTTATAAGGTTCTTGTTGTTCAATAGAATGTTACTTCAATAGTGTATTGACTAGATCTAATAGGTTGCATGTACCCTTAAGTGTATAAGTATTTATCCGTATTATTGCATGTAAAACCCATTATTAGCATGCATCCCTATTTATACTTAAGGAACCAGACCTAAAAGCCTAGTGGGTCAAGCCCATTATCCCATAGGCCCATGAATGGTGTCAACCAATCACAATCCACCATGCAGCATCTTCTGGAACATTCATCCTTGCATAAGCATCAACAACACACATGATGGGACATCAAGATCCATAGTGGCACATCATGATGCAAGAGTGGCACATCAAGATCACCATGGCATATCAACCATCATGGTGGCGCATCAAGTAATAATCCCTGAGTAACTTCAAATTTTGAGCTTCATTGAACACTCTTGAGCATCATAGGGGACTTCATAGCATACGTCTCATCAAGGGATACCTTGGTATATCAAGGAACCAAGTGGCGCATCCTTGCATCAAGATGGCGCATCAGGCATGTGAATGGGGCTTCTTGTGCAAGGAATGATACTTCTTCTCAAGCGATGGTGATTCCTCCTTATGAGTGACGCTTCTAGAACCATAACAACGCTTCTTCCTTCAAAATGGCGCTTCTACCTCATGAATGGCGATTCCATATTATGGATGACGCTTCTACCTTCAAAGTGACGCTTCTTCCTCTAGAATGACATATCTACACAATGAGTGGCGCTTCCACATTATGGATGGCGCTTCTTCATCCTTAATGACGCTTCTATCTCATGAATGGAAAATCATGTCACTTGGTGGCATATCATGTCACTTGGTGGCATATCAAGTCACTTTGTGGCATATCAAGTCACTTGGTGGCATATCAAGTTTCAGTAGTGGCACACCTTCACTTCTAAGTAGCGCATCCAAGCATAGGATGTCACATCTTAAGCAGAGATGGCGCATCCATGCACCATGATACTCCATTCCACTTCCAGGTGCTCCATACCACCTCTTTGAAGATCATTTCCTTTGTGACTTTATTCGTTCCTTTGTCAGATGATCCATCCATTTACCACATGTGTGTTGTCATTGTAGATCATGGTTGTTACTGTCAACTGCAACGAACTTTTGTTGTAGTATATATTAAAATTAAAAGTTAAATAATCTTTTAGCAAAATTCTAAACTTTAAAAAAGTTAATGATGTATAACGGAGGCATGTAATCACAATACATCATAGTAGATTACGGTTTCTATAATAATCTAGTTGCTATATGTAAGGATGTGCATTTGGACCGAATACCCGAACCGAAACTGATACCCGGACCGACCCGATTTAGGACCGAATAAATTATTTGGGTCGGTTCTTGAGTATCTATTTTTGCCCAATTTGGTTCTCGGGTTATTCGGTCTGGGTTATCCGAATAAAGGTTTAATTTGGTCAAAAGGACCGACATGGAAATTGAAGTCACTTGATCGATTCCCCTTGGCTCTTGCGTATTTCCATACCCACCCATTGTGTGGCACCCAATACCGATCAAAGTTTCAAAAAAAAACATATTGAAGTCGTCGCCCTAGCAGACTGCTTTGCTACTCCTCGCTTCGATTCCTTTGATTCATCGTCGAATTTGCTACACAAAAGAAAACCTTCTCCTACTCATCGCTTCCTACTGTGATCGAACACCAAAAAAAGATTAATGTTTAATATTTTTTTTTCTTGAACAGATATAAAACTTCCTTATTTTGGTTATTCGGGTCAATTTTGTTTATTTAAGTTATTCGGATCATTTCTGTTCAAAAGCATATTGTACATGTTATTTCGATCCTTTTGGGTTAATATATAACCGAACCGAAACCTGTATTACCCGAACCGGTCCCGTATTAATATAATCGGTCCGGATTCCAATTCCAACTTTTCATCCAATTCTGGTTTCGGGTTATTCAGGTCCGGTCCTGGTCGGTCCCGACCAGAAGCACATCTCTTGCTTTATGTACCTTACAATTTTACAAAGAAATGCTACCAAAAAAAATAATAAATAAAGCAATAAAAACACTACAAATATCATAATCCTGAAAATGATTTATAAACAAGTACAAATTTATGGATATTATATAAAATTTAAAGTCTATAAAACTGTATTGCAGAAGAGATGATAAAACTGTATGAAGGTAAATATAACAATTGATACTTTAATAACGAAGAATATCTTTAAAAGAAACTGGAAAGCAACTTTCAATAAATTTCTATTGAAAAATGGGAGTACATTGTCTTGGATACAAAAATCGAGAATCAAGAGCCAATAATATTTACAATTTTTAGCCCTCTTCTTCCGGGAAATAACATCCATTTTACTATTCACTCCCAAACCCTAAAACCAGGACTTAACTCGCATCATCAATTCCTCAAATCCGTCGAGAAAGCTTCCAAGTTCATTTTACGATTCACTCACAAACCAATCTTCAACTTTGGCCCCAGCAGTTAAAGTACATGACTTGCCGGAGAGACTCATCGGACTGTGTTGTGTTCCTTTCTCCGATGTTGACGTTTGATCGTAGAAAAAGGCCGGAAAATGGACGGAGATCGGAGGTGAAAGCCTTCTTGCTATGTCGGAAGGAGTTGATGAGGAGGGATTTAAGTTTGTAGCCTTGATCTGTATGTCCATTTACAACAGCTACGCCGGCGGCCATCCAAATACGGTTTACAGAAGCCATGTTGCGAGTGAGAAACTAGGAATTCTGGTTATGAGTTGAAAAGTTGTAGTGTTGCGATTGTGTAATGAGATGAAGAAATGATCGAGGGAAGGGATATATTTATAGAGTGGGAGTCATGTGTTGCTTTGGTGAAACAAGAAACCGGAAACAGGAATGTGGTTTTGGGGTAAAAGTGAGGTGGTTTAGAAGAAGCCCATTAATTAATTGAGGTTCCTTCCTCTGGCCATCTTGGAATGATGAAAAAGTGGTGAGTCATGAGATAAGTAGCCAACAGGTTCCTTGGGTTTCATGTATGGGGGGCACGTAGAATACTTCCATGTACAGGAATACACACCAATTGCATAACATCTGTCCCTTTAGAGTATGGGCTTCGGATGACATTAAGACACGTGTGTTGACATCGACGTAGGTCTGGTGCGCTTTTGGTCTTTCTCTCAAAATAAGAGTTCATTTGAACGAATCGGATCCGATTGGAATCTATTGTGATTTGGCTTTCTAAAATATGGATTTAAATAGTGAAAAATAAACTATCCGAATCAATCATATTATATTTCAGCTTGATCGGTTTTAATGAGTTTGAGATGTCAATTTTAAATAAATTTAATTATTTAAATCACATTTAAATATATATACTAATTCCTTGTGGTCTTCTTCGTAAAATCTACTAATAAACAAATAAAAATAAATCATTTAGTTTGAAATAAAAATATAATTTATTATGATACATACATAAACGCTTGAGAAAAAAAAAATACATTGTATTGAGGTTTTTTATTTGGTAGTTCTTCTAATATATTTAAAAAACAAATATAGTATCGGGTTCTTATTTTAGTAATGAAAACAATATATGAAATTCAAAATAATAATTCGGTTTTAATCTAAATCAATTCATAAATCCAAATAACAAAATCATATAGCCCGATTAATTGTTTAATTAAATAATACGAATTTATCCAAATAACAAACAAACCTAACCACCAAACTATTTTCTGTTTATCAAAAATACCATTTTATACATTTTGTTATTTTAGAGTAACTGTTCGTAAAAGTTGATCCACACTATATCTAGTAAATTGATTCTCACAACACCTTAATTATATGATCTCATCCAATTATATGACTGTTCTCATGTCCCCTCTTTGGCTGAAAGATCCAGTCATTGATATATTATATATATAAATTGTAGAAAATAGTTGGATATCGACATACCAACGATAGATGGTGAAGTAAACGATCATTCACTTGTAAGAGGAAGTATTTCAATATGTAACTTGGTAGTGAATTACTAATAGAGTCAATCATTGAATGATAAGTTCTGGAAATATGGTGAATGTATGGAAGAACACAATCGAGATGGAAGAGAGAAACATTCGAATATGTCACACACCTTATTCGTATATTCGTTGATGCAAAAAGAAAGTAAGCAACACAAAACTGTTTTATGGTTTAAGAAAGGGGCAATTTTTTCTTAATTCCAACATTCGAATTTGTTCCTTTTGCATTCGATACATTTGGTTTTCTCGCACCAGAGGCGGTGGAGCTCCTCAATAAAGTCCAACGGGTCATGCATTCTAATGTCATATCTCCTAGATCCACAAATGTTGTTTTCAAAAGAATCGGTTTTGCCATCCAGAAAGGGCTAGCGGCGCAGCTTGTTGCCTGTTTTGCCTTCAATCGATATATATTGAACTATAAATGCATTTAAGTAAATTCCAAATCAAAGCATCAGTTCAAACATAGAAATTTGACAATCAATGAGCAAAAATCTGCAAAAATTCATTTAAAAAAAAAAATTCCAACATTTGTCCTAAAAGGCATATAATCAATCTTATTTATATATACGAGGGTCTAATTCGGCATGCCGAATCACATTTATTTATATTATTTTTTGGTTATAATCTTCTTTTAATTTATATTTATAGTATCTATAAGATTCTAATTGAGTTTGCTCGATCATAAAAATCAGCAAGCACATGACAAAAAATATAATTTACCGAAAAAAAAAAGAAGCTACATTATATATTCCATAAAAAAAGCTGACATTTACTTTATACATTGTGTTAGTTTCAATTCGATATATATTTACAAATTGTAGCCCTCTTCTTTCATGAAATCACACCCTCACTCCCACATCCCCACAGGAGTTAACTCGCATCATCGATTAATTCTCATCCGTCGAGAAAGCCTCCAAAACACACAACACAAACCAATATTCAGCTTTGGCCCCAGCAGTTAAAGTACATGACTTGCCGGAGAGACTCATCGGACTGTGTTGTCTTCTTGTCTCCGACACTGATGTCTGATATTAGAAGGCCGGAAAGTGGACGGAGATCGGAGGTGAAAGCCTTCTTGGCATGTCGGAAGGAGTTGATGAGGAGGGATTTAAGTTTGTAGCCTTGATCTGTATGTCCATTTACAACAGCTACGCCGGCAGCCATCCATACACGGTTTACAGAAGTCATTTTGTGAAAAAACAAGGAAATTTGGTACTTGATCAGTTGATGGTTGTTGTGTTGCGAGTGAATTGGAATTAATGAGATGATGGAAGGGATATTTATAGAGTGGGAGTGTGTCTTTTACGAAAACAAGAAACCGGAAACAGGAAGGTGGTTTTGGGGTAAAAGTAAGGTGGTTTTGGGGGAGCCCATGACTCGATGAGGAGGTGCATTCATCTGCCCATCATATCTTGGAACGATGTGAGTAATGACTGAGTGATGGCAACCAATGAGTAGACATCTTGATTCCCATACATAATTAATGTATGAGTTTTGGAATTTTGTAATGGTTATCAACACCTGTCCTTTTCAAGACACGTGGGTTGACATGGACGTAGGTGATGGAGCTTTTTAGCTCTTTTCTCATTGTTTACTCGTTAAGATATCAAAATTAGGTGGGATATTACGATAAGTCGATAAAGTTGCTACTTTTTAAATACATATCGGAAAGCAAATAGAGTATATGTTGGTAATGAAGGGGGTTGGAATATTAAGTGTGAACCCATTCGTAAACCAAACATCTTCAACTAATCTCCATGTACATATGACTTAATCATTGATTCCCCAAACATGCAAATATATTAATATAGTCTTTAAAAAAACCTTTTTGAGCCTTGATCATCAAGCTCTAATTTTGCTTTAACACCCAATAATGACGTAGTTCTTAAACAAAAAACATTAAGAATGATTTAAGTAAACATATTCAATTCATCAACATCGTGATCCATTGTTTAAGCAACCCTCCCAAATTTAATCATGATGGACTGATGGTTTCACGACGGTGAAATGTAAACTATATATATTTGAACCACGCTAGACTTTTAGTACATTGAATATGTTGTTAGTGATTTCAGTGTCATTATGTCATTTTAATCTAATTGAATTTAGAGATTACTAATAGAGTTCAATTCTTGATTATATTACAAGATAGGAGGTGTAGATTGTACGTTTGTATGAAATGAGTTTAATTTTAGTTTGACCAAATGACAAGGGTCAAAGGGTTTGCGTACCTTTGCGGGGGTCCAGTTAATCAATTTCAGAAACCTTCTTGTACATAATTATCCTAGAAACCGTCATCCTTTATATAAGGAAATATTAAGAAAATATTATTTTAAAAATATATTTCCATAATATATTTTTTGTAAGGAAGATGTTATAGAAAATATTATTTTCGGAATATTTTCTTTATAATTGTCTTTAAAATCGTCATCCTTTATTTAAAGAATAAAATTAACATTTAATGTTGATTGATGCTTATATTTGGTAAACTGTAAACATAAGAATCCGAATTTTATAAAACATAGTTTGTGGTCTCATATATAAATATCTTGATTTGATATTGTTCCTTAAAAGATTATCCTCGTAATCTGGATTTCGTATAACCCAAACATAGAGTCGAAATATCATATTCGGAAAGTCTTTAGACAATCCTTCAAATAGATCCAGATTGTTCATCGATTTAAGAAACCTTATTCTCCTCCCAAACTCCAACATTTGTCACATACCATTACTTACCATTTGATTAAACTAGTTCATAGAGACACTAGAGTGTGACTCAGAACGTTTATAATTTGACGTCTTGAACTGTTGATGATTTAAATTGTATGTATGGCTAATGGTTCACCATTGTTAAATCCACTAATTGAAAACACTGATATATAGTTTGAACTTCGAAACAACCTACAACAAAATAATATATGTTGTAAGCCAATTAAATCCAATTAATGTCTTTTATCTAGAACTTGATATTTTTCTCAATGGAAAAGTCTATGCGCAATAAAATATGTTGTAACAAAGTCAAGAAAAGAAAACATTTATTTTTGTAACTAAAATAAAAGGTATTGAAAAAAGAGAGAGAAACATATATGTTAAATTGTAGGGCGAAAACGATAGGTGAGCGGATGGATAAAATGAATACTACATATAAAAATAATTTTATCCACAAATCCTTTTCTCGGTCACAATATTGACTATAACCACCAAAAAGAATATATTTATCCACTATAGCTTTTGCCCCAACATCTTTATATTTATTGGTATATTATGTATTTCTTTGTATATATTGTCTTAAATTAAGTAAGTATTTACTTTTAGGAAACTAGAATATTTTGTAAGAGTGATTTATGGTATTGTGTGTTTATACTTTATAGATGTCTAGACTCTAGATCAATGTGAATGAGAAAACAAACGATTCATTCCCAAATATTACCTCTTTCATAGTTAATTGTAAGCAGTGGGTTTTGTTTGAATCGAAGTACGTTGCGAAAGTGATTGATAAAGAATCAAAAAACCAAAAGAATGGTTTAAATAGAGATGCCAAATCACTCCGGCATGAGAGTGAAACAACCCCGTACGTTTCATGGGATCAAAAATAGGAGATAAAAATAAAGGAAGCTCATTTTTCCACAACCATTTTTTATCCATCCACTAAAAAATAATATATTAACAATAATACCCTTCATTTTTGTTTCTTAGATATTGATGGAAGATCCCATATTCTTTACC